GTATTGATCTATTTCACAGGGACGAGATTTCTCTGTTATATACTGTACAACTCTGAAAATACCCCTTTTTACATGAAAATATGAAATATTAGTGTTTATTACGTAAAAAATGCAAGATAAGATCGATTAAAAAAACAACACCCATTATCATATCAAAACGATATAATGATAGTTGCTGTTTGTCCAGTCGATATAATCTGGTTGTATTACCCAATTTCATGATGTAAGATAACAAATAAAACGGTCCTTTCAAATGCATAAAACATTGAAAATTCTTTTGACACTGATCTGGTCTTGTATTCGAACAAAGGGCAATAGGTTCTCCGTCAACTTAGACTGGGATAGAACGTTGAAACAACAAGTTATCTCCTTGCGTAATAGATCTCCGCTGTCTCATATTGGTCTTATAGACAGTGGCATTATGTTCTCCGCACCAGTCTTGAACACGAGGGCACTAGGGTCTCCGTTGCCTCAACTTGGTATTGAGTAAGAGGCACTTGTTTCTCTATCGTCCAACATTGGTTAGCAATACGACGACGATATATTCTCCGCTTGTCTCAAATACGATGGAACTAAGTTATCCACTGTCTTGCGTTGATATGGGGCCACAAGGTTTATTTCAGATAATCTATTGAGGTAAACATCAAAAGGATTAGTCGCTTGGCTTAAAGTCCAGGAACAAGAGAGCACTGTCCAATATTGGTCTGGAAAGTGAAGGCACTTGTTCATCCTCTGCCTTAAAAGTATTGGAACACGAGCGCACTGACTTCTACTCAGCCTCATATTGGTTTGAAGCAAGCGGCATTTGGGTTCTTCGCTGCATCACATTGGTTTTAGATATGAGGACACCTGACTCTTCCCTGCCTCATTTTGGTTTTAAATACGAAAACATCTGGCTCTTCCCTGCCTCACTTTGGATTAAAATACGAGGACATCTGGCTCTTCCCTGCCTCACTTTGGTTTTAAATATGATGACAGCTGGCTCTTCCCTGCCTCACTTTGGATTTAAATACGAGGGCACCTGTTTCTTCCCTGCCTCACTTTGGTTTTAAATACGAGGACATCAGGCTCCTCCCTGCCTCACTTTGGATTAAAATACGAGGACATCTGGCTCTTCCCTGCCTCACTTTGGTTTTAAATACGAGGACATCAGGCTACTCTCTGCCTCACTTTGGATTGAAATACGAGGGCATCTGGCTCTTCCCTGCCTCACTTTGGATTTAAATACGAGGGCATCTGGCTCTTCCCTGCCTCACTTTGGTTTTAAATACGAAAACATTTGGCTCTTCCCTGCCTCACTTTGGATTTAAATACGTGGACATCTGGCTCTTCCTTGCCTTATATTGGTTTTAAATATGATGACACCTGGCTCTTCTCTGCCTCACTTTGGATTTAAATACGAGGGCACCTGTTTCTTCCCTGCCTCACTTTGGTTTTAAATACGAGGACATCAGGCTCCTCCCTGCCTCACTTTGGTTTTAGATACGAGGACACCTGGCTCATCACTGCCTCACTTTGGATTCAAATACGAGGGCATCTGGCTCTTCCCTGCCTCACTTTGGTTTTAAATACGAGGACATCAGGCTCTTCCCTGCCTCACTTTGGATTTAAATACGAGGGCACCTGTTTCTTTCCTGCCTCACTTTGGTTTTAAATATGATGACAGCTGGCTCCTCCCTGCCTCACTTTGGTTTTAGATACGAGGACACCTGGCTCATCACTGCCTCACTTTGGATTCAAATACGAACACACCTGGCTCTTCCCTGCCTCACTTTGGAGTTAAATACGAGGGCACCTGGCTCTTCCCTGCCTCACTTTGGTTTTAAATACGAGGACATCAGGCTCATCCCTGCCTCACTTTGGATTGAAATACGAGGGCATCTGGCTCTTCCCTGCCTCACTTTGGATTTAAATACGAGGTCACCTGGCTCTTCCCTGCCTCACTTTGGTTTTAAATATGATGACACCTGGCTCTTCTCTGCCTCACTTTGGATTTAAATACGAGGGCACCTGTTTCTTCCCTGCCTCACTTTGGTTTTAAATACGAGGACATCAGGCTCCTCCCTGCCTCACTTTGGTTTTAGATACGAGGACACCTGGCTCATCACTGCCTCACTTTGGATTCAAATACGAGGGCATCTGGCTCTTCCCTGCCTCACTTTGGAGTTAAATACGAGGGCACCTGGCTCTTCCCTGCCTCACTTTGGTTTTAAATACAAGGGCATCTGGCTCTTCCCTGCCTCACTTTGGATTTAAATACGAGGGCATCTGGCTCTTCCCTGCCTCACTTTGGTTTTAAATACGAGGACATCAGGCTCTTTCCTGCCTCATTTTGGTTTTAGATACGAGGACACCTGGCTCATCACTGCCTCACTTTGGATTTAAATACGAAAACACCTGGCTCTTCCCTGCCTCACTTTGGAGTTAAATACGATGGCATCTGGCTCTTCCCTGCCTCATTTTGGTTTTAAATACGAGGACATCAGGCTCATCACTGCCTCACTTTGGATTTAAATACGAAAACACAAGGCTCCTCCGTGCCTCACTTTGGAGTTACATACGAGGGCACCTGGCTCTTCCCTGCCTCATTTTGGATTGAAATACGAAAACATCTGGCTCTTACCCGCCACACTTTGGATTTAAATACGAGGACATCTGGCTCTTCCCTGCCTCACTTTGGTTTTAAATATGATGACACCTGGCTCTTCCCTGCCTCACTTTGGATTTAAATACGAGGGCACCTGTTTCTTCCCTGCCTCACTTTGGTTTTAGATACGAGGACACCTGGCTCATCACTGCCTGGCTTTGGATTTAAATACGAAAACACCTGGCTCTTCCCTGCCTTACTTTGGTCTTAAATATGATGACACATAGCTCTTCCCTGCCTCACTTTGGATTTAAATACGAGGGCATCTGGTTCTTCCCTGCCTCACTTTGGATTTAAATACGAGGACATCTGGCTCTTCCCTGCCTTATATTGGTTTTAGAAATGAGGGCATCAGGCTTTTCCCTGCCTATCATTGGTTTTAGAAATGAGAACATCTGGCTCTTCCCTGCCTTATATTGGTTTTAGAAATGAGGACACCAGGCTTTTCCCTGCCTATCATTGGTTTGAAACATGTAGGCCCTAGGTTCTCTGCTTCTCCTGACATTGCTCAAGAGCATTGGGCCAAAAGACATTGCTGTGGAAACAGGAACACTAGACCTTGATTGACTTGAGCACAGGGTTATCTTCGTCTAATCCTAGTTCCGTTCACGAAGACTCTAGATTATCCTAATACTTATAAAGTAAAATACATGTATGTTTTGCCAGCCAGGCAGTCATGAACTGGAAAATCCGCAAGTGTGCCTGAAGCCGTTGTAGCGTAACAGCTGGCCCGGATTTGAACACCACTCCTCATTCAATCATTGTAAAGCCATCATCATTTCTACCACTTCTACAGCTAATAAGTATATATCTTTATGAGTAGAAACTTTAAGTGTTGTACGACCCCAATAGATTTGTAGAATTCAGTTGACCTGTTTTTGTGAGAGTTCAAGGTACATGGTTGGAAGAGGTAAAATTGCTATAGAGGTGAGTCTGTGTTTGTAATATAGTTATTTGGTGTAACAATTAGTATTTCCACAAATAATCTCCTTGCCCATCAATGTCTTCTCCATCAAAAATCCAACTGTATCCCTTGTCCATTGACATTTGCAGAGATATCGTAACATGTCTCGTTACACAAAACCTCTATTTACCAGCTATCTCTCGATTGGAGAACATTCTTAGTTTATAAAAACATACGGTAATACGCCCTGTCACTAAACTTCACAGCAAACGTCTCTCTCAATGAATTCACACACCTCTTGTCGATCACAGATCTTCCAGCACGTAGCGTCTGTTCATTTTAGATGGTAGGAGTTTGTTACCGTGCCGACCGGAGACCTCTCGTATCAAAAGCCTGAATAATCACTGCTATTCATGAGTGTATAATAAAGGTATACACACAGAGGGTAGAATTCAGTTATCTATCACACTACCTGTAGTACTCTCCTTGACCACAATATCGCAGGTCAGATCAATGATACTGACTATCCTCCGTCACAACAACGCTGCAGGGGGCCCAACCAACCGCCACATTCTCAGTATAGTTACTTGGACCCCCTCCGTAAAATATCGACTACCTGTCCCTGCGGTGGGTTAGAATAGATATATTATACACAAGTATCTTAACAAATTAATATATCCATACTTACACTGAGCCTTTGTTATTTTTGAAAGACAACATTACAACTTGTCTTCCCAAGAACAATTTTTAGCGCCCTCTACTTTTATAGAAAATGCAATGGGGTTAATCTTGCCAAATTCTGTTCTTCAAGGTATATTTTGAATTCAGAACAAATAACAGGAAAAAAGCTTCTTGACATTACCTACAGCGCTATCGGAGGGTTCTTAGACAATTCTCAAGAGATCACAAAATACACTTTACTTCACTTGTAACAATCAAAATTAATGAATAGACGACTTCATGTTCACGTACCCAAATTCAGTTACTCGGTTACTGATATCGATGTCTCGCAGAGTCGATGTCTCTAATAGCTCGTCATTCGCGGATTTGAAGTCAATTCAAGATCAGCGATCGCGAAATCGTGTATTCGCGACTATCTTTGATGAGGTGAGTTCGCGAAGTAAAGTATTCGCGAAGTCCAAGTGATTTACAGCAGCCCTTAAACTGACTGCCGGATTTACTTTTGTTAAGATGTATAAAGCACGAGCTAAGAAGCGTCTGTACGAGGAACACATTGTTATCTAATTCCTAGGATTGTGTACAAGTTTATTTTGATAAGAATGTAAATTTCAATTCTCTGCCAATGAAAGTATGTCCATGCATCAAGGCTGTTATTATCAAGTGTTGAGCATGTATCTGGTACCGTAAATGCTGAAAGTGTATATTCAGAAAGGGAAGTATATACACAGCATTATCACACGTACCAATGGGATAAGAGGGTGTTCAACATCAATCAGCTGATCAATTGAACTTGATCTATAGACGCCGGGAGTGGCTAACTGTGATGCAAACTTGGCCTTATTTGATTTGAAATCAATCCTGATAGACGGCAGGGTAGTGCAGGTGTGAGAATAGAACACGTGTTGGTATTGTAGCAGTGTATAATGTATGCTAACCACAGACCAACAGTTCAGCTGCAAAAGAAATGGATTAAAACGTACGGATGTGAGGATTCATTATTTCCCCTCTCACGTCCTCAGGAAATCTCCGACATTATCAGGAAGTGGAGTAGCTATTGACCAGGAGATCAATGTGTTATCATGTATTGGGACCGGACTAACCGTATCGATCTAACGATGTCTATTGAGCAGGAACAGGTAGGTAATTTGTCGAGAGTCGGTACACAGACCGACAGCTACTCGGTGTGGTCGGCTCCGGCTAGATTATGTAACCTACATCTAAATAGTATATATCAATCATGGGATTAAGAAAGTATTAATGTGATTTGAGTCGGAAAGTGTTCTGATGGAGTACCGACGGATCCAACAGGTAACGTTTGCTTTATGAATGTGTACTGTATAGTTTTTATATTTAGAAGACAAGATAGCACGCCCATGGCCCTTATTGAAGGTAAGACGGGAAAGGAGCGAAAGACAGCTGCCAGGTGAAAAGCGATCTGAGTAAGGGTCACACATGCGCCGGGATAAGGAAGAGTATCACATAGAATGTCTGATTCCAGAGTTACAAATCTCCCTGGTGATGGGACGTCAACGGTATGTGGGAAGGGGGTTTATTAGGTAAAATAGCATTGTCGGAAGGCACGTTGAGGATACGATAACCTATATAGATATCAAACAATATCTAGTACAGAGGGGGTGTTACAGGTAATAGGACCTGTGAGGAGGGGGTGTTACAGGTAATAGGACCTGTGGGGAAGGGGTGTTACAGGTAATAGGACCTGTGGGGAGGGGGTGTTACAGGTAATAGGACATGTGGGGAGGGGGTGTTACAGGTAATAGGACCTGTGAGAAGGGGGTGTTTCAGGTAATAGGACCTTTGGAGAAGGGGTGTTACAGGTAATAGGACCTGTGGGGAAGGGGGTGTTACAGGTAATAGGACCTGTGGGGAGGGTATGTTACAGGTAATAGGACCTGTGGGGAGGGGGTGTTACAGGTAATAGGACATGTGGGGAGGGGATGTTACAGGAAATTGGACATGTGTGGAGGGGGTATTACAGGTAATAGGACCTGTGGGGAGGGGATGTTACAGGTAATAGGACATGTGGGGAGGGGGTGTTACAGGTAATAGAACATGTGGGGAGGGGATGTTACAGGTAATAGGAACTGTGGGGAGGGGGTGTTACAGGTAATAGGACATGTGGGGAGGGGATGTTACAGGTAATAGGACCTGTGGGGAGGGTATGTTACAGGTAATAGGACCTGTGGGGAGGGGGTGTTACAGGTAATAGGACATGTGGGGAGGGGATGTTACAGGAAATTGGACATGTGGGGAGGGGGTGTTACAGGTAATAGGACCTGTGGGGAGGGGATGTTACAGGTAATAGGACATGTGGGGAGGGGGTGTTACAGGTAATAGGACATGTGGGGAGGGGATGTTACAGGAAATAGGAACTGTGGGGAGGGGGTGTTCCAGGGAATAGGACATGTGGGGAGGGGGTGTTATAATAGGATATGTGGGGAGGGGGTGTTACAGGTAATAGGACCTGTGGGGAGGGGGTGTTACAGGTAATAGGACCTGTGGGGAGGGGTTGTTACAGGTAATAGGACCTGTGGGGAGGGGGTGTTACAGGTAATAGGACCTGTGGGAAGGGGGTGTTACAGGTAATAGGACCTGTGGGGAGGGGGTGTTACAGGTAATAGGACCTGTGGGGAGGGGGTGTTACAGGTAATAGGACCTGTGGGGAGGGGGTGTTACAGGTAATAGGACATGTGGGGAGGGGGTGTTACAGGTAATAGGACCTGTGGGGAGGGGGTGTTACAGGTAATAGGACCTGTGGGGAGGGGGTGTTACAGGTAATAGGACCTGTGGGGAGGGGGTGTTACAGGTAATAGGACCTGTGGGGAGGGGGTGTTACAGGTAATAGGACCTGTGGGGAGGGGGTGTTACAGGGGACCTGTGTTACAGGTAATAGGACCTGTGGGGAGGGGGTGTTACAGGTAATAGGACATGTGGGGAGGGGGTGTTACAGGTAATAGGACCTGTGGGGAGGGGGTGTTACAGGTAATAGGACCTGTGGGGAGGGGATGTTACAGGTAATAGGACATGTGGGGAGGGGGTGTTACAGGTAATAGGACATGTGTGGAGGGGGTGTTACAGGTAATAGGACCTGTGGGGAAAGGGGTGTTACAGGTAATAGGTCCTGTGTGGAGGGGGTGTTACAGGTAATAGGACCTATGGGAATGGGGTGTTACAGGTAATAGGACCTGTGGGGAGGGGGTGTAACAGGTAATAGGACCTGTGGGGAGGGGATGTTATAGGTAATAGGACATGTGGGGAGGGGGTGTTACAGGTAATAGGACCTGTGGGGAGGGGGTGTTACAGGTAATAGGACCTGTGTTACAGGTAATAGGACCTGTGGGGAGGGGGTGTTACAGGTAATAGGACCTGTGGGGAGGGGGTGTTACAGGTAATAGGACCTGTGAGAAGAGGGTGTTACAGGTAATAGGACCTGTGGGGATGGGGTGTTACAGGTAATAGGACCTGTGGGGAGGGGATGTTATAGGTAATAGGACATGTGGGGACGGGGTGTTACAGGTAATAGGACCTGTGGGGAGGGGGTGTTACAGGTAATAGGACCTGTGGGGAGGGGGTGTTACAGGTAATAGGACCTGTGGGGAGGGGGTGTTACAGGTAATAGGACATGTGGGGAGGGGGTGTTTCAGGTAATAGGACCTTTGGAGAAGGGGTGTTACAGGTAATAGGACCTGTGGGGAAAGGGGTGTTACAGGTAATAGGTCCTGTGTGGAGGGGGTGTTACAGGTAATAGGACCTGTAGGGAGGGGGTGTTACAGGTAATAGGACATGTGGGGAGGGGGTGTTACAGGTAATAGAAAATGTGGGGAGGGGGTGTTACAGGTAATAGGACCTGTGGGGAAGGGGGTGTTACAGGTAATAGGACCTGTGGGGAGGGGGTGTTACAGGTAATAGGACCTATGGGAAGGGGGTGTTACAGGTAATAGGACCTGTGAGAAGAGGGTGTTACAGGTAATAGGACCTGTGGGGAACAGGTAATAGGACCTGTGGGGAGGGGGTGTTACAGGTAATAGGACCTGTGGGGAGGGGGTGTTACAGGTAATAGGACAGGTAATAGGACCTGTGGGGAGGGGGTGTTACAGGTAATAGGACCTGTGAGAAGAGGGTGTTACAGGTAATAGGACCTGTGGGGAGGGGGTGTTACAGGTAATTGGACCTGTGGGGAGGGGGTGTTACAGGTAATAGAACATGTGTGGAGGGGGTGTTACAGGTAATAGGACCTGTGGGGAGGGGGTGTTACAGGTAATAGGACCTGTGGGGAAGGGGGTGTTACAGGTAATAGGACCTGTGGGGAGGGGGTGTTACAGGTAATAGGACATGTGGGGAGGGGGTGTAACAGGTAATAGGACCTGTGGGGAGGGGGGTGTGTAATAGGACAGGTAATAGGACCTGTGGGGAGGGGGTGTTACAGGTAATAGGACCTGTGTGGAGGGGGTGTTACAGGTAATAGGACATGTGGGGAGGGGATGTTATAGGTAATAAGACATGTGGGGATGGGGTGTTACAGGTAATAGGACCTGTGGGGAGGGGGTGTTACAGGTAATAGGACCTGTGGGGAGGGGTGTTGTTACAGGTAATAGGACCTATGGGAATGTTACAGGTAATAGGACCTGTGGGGAGGGGGTGTTACAGGTAATAGGACATGTGGGGAGGGGGTGTAACAGGTAATAGGACATGTGGGGAGGGGGTGTTACAGGTAATAGGACCTGTGGGGAGGGGGTGTTACAGGTAATAGGACATGTGGGGAGGGGGTGTTTCAGGTAATAGAACATGTGGGGAGGGGGTGTTACAGGTAATAGGACCTGTGGGGAGGGGGTGTTATAGGTAATAGGACCTGTGGGGAGGGGGTGTTACAGGTAATAGGACCTGTGGGGAGGGGGTGTTACAGGTAATAGGACCTGTGGGGAGGGGGTGTTACAGGTAATAGGACCTGTGGGGAGGGGGTGTTACATGTAATAGGACCTGTGGGAAGGGGGTGTTACATGTAATAGGACATGTGGGAAGGGGGTGTTACAGGTAATAGGACCTGTGGGGAGGGGATGTTATAGGTAATAGGACATGTGGGGATGGGGTGTTACAGGTAATAGGACCTGTGGGGAGGGGGTGTTACAGGTAATAGGACCTGTGGGGAGGGGATGTTATAGGTAATAGGACATGTGGGGATGGGGTGTTACAGGTAATAGGACCTGTGAGGAGGGGGTGTTACAGGTAATTGGACCTGTGGGGAGGGGGTGTTACAGGTAATTGGACCTGTGGGGAGGGGGTGTTACAGGTAATAGGACCTGTGGGGAGATGGTGTTACAGGTAATAGGACCTGTGGGGAGGGGGTGTAACAGGTAATAGGACCTGTGGGGAGGGGATGTTACAGGTAATAGGACATGTGGGGAGGGGGTGTTACAGGTAATAGGACCTGTGAGGAGGGGGTATTACAGGTAATAGGACCTGTGAGGAGGGGTTGTTACAGGTAGAACAACACTTGGAGGAATGTTACAGTGGTCTGATATCACCTTACGTGATCTGATATCACCCTACGTGATCTGATATCACCCTTCGTTGTCTGATATCACCCTACGTGATCTGATATCACCTTACGTGATCTGATATCACCTTACGTGATCTGATATCACCCTGCGTGATCTGATATCACCCTACGTGGTCTGATATCACCCTACGTGATCTGATATCACCTTACGTGGTCTGATATCACCTTACGTGGTCTGATATCACCCTACGTGATCTGATATCACCCTACGTGATCTGATATCACCCTACGTGGTCTGATATCACCCTACGTGGTCTGATATCACCCTACGTGATCTGATATCACCCTACGTGGTCTGATATCACCCTACGTGATCTGATATCACCCTACGTGGTCTGATATCACCCTACGTGATCTGATATCACCCTACGTGATCTGATATCACCCTACGTGATCTGATATCACCCTACGTGGTCTGATATCACCCTACGTGGTCTGATATCACCCTACGTGGTCTGATATCACCCTACGTGATCTGATATCACCCTACGTGGTCTGATATCACCCTACGTGATCTGATATCACCCTACGTGGTCTGATATCACCCTACGTGGTCTGATA